CAAGGCACGGAATACATCGTCAAATATTCAATATGATTCCACAAGATCTAGTTTCGTTCAAGGAAAGGATTCTAGCCAATTGAAGGGATCTTCTGATCAATCCAGAGATCATTTCGATTCCATTAGTAATGAGGATTCGGGATATCACACATTGATCAATCAAAGAGAGATTAAACAACTAAAACGAAAAGAAAGATCGATTCTTTGCGACCCTTCCTTTCTTCAAACGGAACGAACAGAGATAGAATCAGACCGATTCCCTAAATGCCCTTCTGGATATTCCTCAATGTCGCGGCTATTCACGGAAGGTGAGAAGGAGATGAATAATCATCTCCTTCCGGAAGAAATCGAAGAAGTTCTTGGGAATCCTACAATATCCATTCGTTCTTTTTTCTCTGACAGATGGTCAGAACTTCATCTGGGTTCGAATCCTACGGAGAGGCCCACTAGAGATCAGAAATTGTTGAAGAAAGAACAAGATGTTTCTTTTGTCCCTTCCAGGCGATCGGAAAAGAAATAAATAGTTAATATATTCAAGATGATTACGCATTTACAAAATACTATCTCAATTCATTCTATTTCATCAGATCCGGGATGTGATATGGTTCTGAAGGATGAACTGGATATGGACAGTTCCAATAAGATTTCTTTCTTGAACAAAAACCCATTTTTTGATTTCTTTCATCTATTCCATGATCGGAACGTGGGGGGATACACGTTACACCACGATTTTGAATCAGAAGAGAGATTTCAAGAAATGGCAGATCTATTCACTCTATCAATAACCGAGCCGGATCTGGTGTATCATAAGGGATTTGCCTTTTTTATTGATTCCTACGGATTGGATCAAAAACAATTCTTGAATGAGGTATTCAACTCCAGGGATGAATCGAAAAAGAAAGCTTTATGGGTTCTACCTCCTATTTTTTATGAAGAGAATGAATCTTTTTATCGAAGGATCAGAAAAAAATGGGCCCGGATCTCCTGCGGGAATGATTTGGAAGATCCAAAAGTAAAAATAGTGGTATTTGCTAGCAACAACATAATGGAGGCAGTCAATCAATATATATTGATCCGAAATCTGATTCAAATCCAATATAGCACCTATGGGTACATAAGAAATGTATTGAATCAATTCTTGTTAATGAATAGATCCGATCGCAACTTCGAATATGGAATTGAAAGGGATCAAATAGGAAATGATACTCTGAATCATAGAACTATAATGAAATATACGATCAACCAACATTTATCAAATTTGAAACAGAGTCAGAAGAAATGGTTCGATCCTCTTATTTTTCTTTCTCGAACCGAGAGATCCATGAATTGGGATCCTAATGCATATAGATACAAATGGTCTAATGGGAGCAAGAATTTCCATGAACATTTGGAACATTTCATTTCTGAGCAGAAGAGCCATTTTCTTTTTCAAGTAGTGTTCGATCAATTATGTATTAATCAATATTCGATTGATTGGTCTGAGGTTATCAACAAAAAAGATTTGGCTAAGTCACTTCGTTTCTTTTTGTCCAAGTTACTTATTTTTTTTGTCCAAGTTTCTTCTCTTTTTGTCTAACTCACTTCCTTTTTTCTTTGTGAGTTTTGGGAATATCCCCATTAATAGGTCCGAGATCCATATCTATGAATTGAAAGGTCCGAATGATCAACTCTGCAAATTCGAACCAATAGGTCTTCAAATCGTTCATTTGAAAAAATTGAAACCCTTCTTATTGGATGATCATGATACTTCCCAAAAATCGAAATTTTTGATCAATCGAGGAGCAATATCACCATTTTTCTTCAATAAGATACCAAAGTGGATGATTGACTCATTCCCTACTAGAAATAATCGCAGGAAATCTTTTGATAACACGGATTCTTCCTATTTCTCAATGATATCCCACGATCAAGACAATTGGCTGAATCCCGTGAAACCATTTCATAGAAGTTCATTGATATCTTCTTTTTATAAAGCAAATCGACTTCGATTCTTGAATAATCTACATCACTTCTGTTTCTATTGTAACAAAAGATTCCCTTTTTATGTGGAAAAGGCCCGTATCAAGAATTATGATTTTACATATGGACAATTCCTCAATATCTTGTTCATTCGCAACAAAATCTTTTCTTTGTGC